CAAGCTCCCCCACGGTTGTTCCTCCTAATGTTGGGCTTTATAATCTGAAGTCTGAAAGAAACACTGTTATCAAACAGTGTGATTGCTAATGAAACATTAGAAGACTTCTTTCCATCTAGGATTTCAAAGGCCAATTTCATAAATCTATTTCTTTTGAAATCTACAGAGTAATCTTCTAAGAAATTGTTAGAAGTAGTTTACATTACTCTCTTTAGGAAGCTCTTTGCAGGATATCATTGTAGCCATAAATGAGAATAAAAGCTTACATTTTTATCATTCTATAACTCTTTGTACATTAATCCATGTTTGAATAGAGTCCTACTGAGAAAAGAGTAAGTGGGAGAAATATTTCGATTACCTTTCTCAAATGCAGAGTGGTGTTGAATTCAAATGTTATTCACTCTCTTCATGGAGAAATGAATTTTCCATATCATGTGCTGAAGCTGATATTTTAATGGGAGTATGTTTTGTGGAATGAGTTAGGAGAAGTAGTAATTGTATTAGAAAGAGAATGAAATGGAATTGAAAGTATTGCTATGGGAGATGGAGGATGCTCTGACCGCATTGCTTGAGGTGACATGGAGTACCAGCAGAGAGAGAAATGTCGATGATCGAGTTTCTCCATTTCTTATTTATGTGACTTTTTTCAATATTTAATTATCCTAGGCTCTAAGGACAAGATAGTTCCATATTCAAATTTTGTATTTATCTATAAAGGTAAAATAATTTTGACATGGTGAAATTCCAAACCTAGAAAATAGACATTTTTGGAGAAATTCATGTCAAATTTCCTGTTGAAAGTATAATCTGTTCAGTTCTAAAGGTCAATATCATTTAAATTAACATTAAAACTAGAAACAGAAACTTCGTGTTCTACAGTATGAGACCTACTCATCATAAGACACAGAAATAAGTTTGCTGAAGTGCCTTTAGTTTCCTTTAAAGAATAAGGGATATTATGCCACTTGAAAAGAACAGTAGTTGGAGGTATAAGAAACATGGATGTTGACTTAATTTTAAAAATTAAAGATTAAAAAGGTACAGACTAGGACAACACAGTATTTGAAAGCCTGAAAAGTGAAAAAGATGGTAAATTGGAAAAACTGGTCATTCCTGATCTTATAACTTACAATGTTTTTCCAAACTTATTCTAGTTTGAGTTCTGAATACATGTGTTTAATAGACTCATATTTACTTTAAGTTCATACTCTAGCTGACAAGAGGGAATCATGTGTAAAACTAGGAAAAATACAGCATAAATTCCACCTAGAAAAGCCACACAACAGGAGTCAGTGTTGTGGCTGAGTGCATAAAGCTGCACCTGTGACGCTGGCATCGCATATGGGTGCCAGTTCGAGTCCTGGCCACTGCACTTCTGATGCAGGTCTCTGCCAATGCCACTGGAAAGGAGCAGGGTACGTTCTAAGTGCCTGGGCCCTGCACCCACATGGGAGACCTGGAAGAAGCTCCTGACTCCTGGCTTCCGCCTGGGTCTAGTCTGGTCACTGTGGCCCTTTGAACAGTGTGCAGGCAGAGGATCTCTCTCTCTCTCTCTGTATCTGTTTCTTTCTCTGTAAGTGCCTTTCAAATAAATAAATAAATCTTTAAAAAATGATGAAAAAGATAACAAAAAATTAGTTGTATGAATCCTCACCGACTCACTATCAAGAGCTGAAACCTAGTATAATATGACATTGCACCAAACACTAAATTTTATTTAGAGTGAGCAAGCTTCATCTTCTTTCGAGAAAAAAAAATCATGGATCCATTTCTGAGACAGAGAAAGGAACAGAGACAGAAAAACAGAGAACTCTCATCTACTGGTTCACCAGCGTCCTCCAATGCCTACGATACCTAGGCTGACCTTGGCTAAAAACAGGAGCCAGGAACACTATATATATATATATATATATATATATATATATCCCATATGGGTGGGATATATATATATATATTTGCGCCGCCACTCCCAGGCTGTGCATTAGCAGGAAACCCAGACCAGGGACTGGAGCCATATTTTGAACACAGGTACTCTGATACAGTATAAGGGTGTCTTAACTGACATATATTAGCTGATAGGTTAAATGCCCTTTCCAAATAACATCTTATGAGAGGTATAATGTAAGATTATACTTATTTTGAATAGACAAGCATTTATCTATATTATACTTATATTTTCTATGGAAATTGTACCCCTAATCTTTTAATATAGACAGAGACCTTGAAAATTATTATATCCATGTTTAATCCATTTTTGTGGGAAATAATATACATAATATATAATTATATATTTTCATTTCTAATTTATTTCTAAATATATATTAAGTATCTCATTTTTCTTCCATGTATTATTCTACATAGTGTATACTTTCATTGTTTTAGAAGGATGTCTAATTACTTATTTTAAGTCTCTAAAGAGAGAAATTCATGTAGGTAAAGTTCACTTCTCTGTTGTCAAAACATATCACCAACAGTCAGAGCAAAGGTTTGCCTGTTGTGTTAACTTTACAGCCCAAGTGGTTAAATTAGCTCATCGAGAACCATAAAAAGATGTCCTAGAAAAGCACGTTCTTGAAGCCTGGGTCACATGGCATGAAGTGTTAATGATGCCCTAGAATAGCACGCCTGTGGGGCAGGAAACACGTCTTAGTCTCTGAATCTGCGTACGCAACTCATGACTGGCACTTTCATAATTAAGACTTCACAGGTTATCTTGATAGTATTAGAGACTAAAATTTTGAATTCTGTGATATAACCAAGAAATGTGTGTCATTTAGCTTCAAAATTGCTGGCTTTACAAGATTCAGAATCACTTTGCAAAATGATTTTGCCTTGATTTAAATAATCATTTTGACACCGTGCTTCCTATATTCACACCCTTCACTAGATTTCTCACTCAGAATATGAAAACACATATGTTTGGGGTAAAATCAAATCACTTGCTTTATCACAAGTAATAATTATACCAAGCCCCAAGCAGGACCTTGAATACGGATGCCAGATACCAGCAGGCTTCCCTCCCTTAGCCAAAAGGGTCCTTGCCTGCCTCTGATAGCAAGTCACACACTTACTAAAATTAACTCAGTGAATTGAGGGGGTGGTATACAATTGGCCTACAAGGTCCTAGTCACTGAACTCATGAGGCCATGTACTTCTCAAATAGAGAACACTTTGATGGTTGGTGTTGTCTCCAGAGATTTCTTTTTGGGATTTCTAGGTAATGGGCAGGAGAATTCCAGGTTCAGGGCAGAAATAAATTACCACCTGCATGTATCCCCAGAATGATTGAACCCCACTTGACCATCATGCAAATTTTCTAGAGGACACAGCATCACCCCAGCCAATCAAAGGAAACCCACAAGCACTTCCAACCAACCAGGAACTTGGAGAAGAGGTGAACATGCACCTGTCAGTACCAGCCAGAATCTGTAAGAACCTCCACTCTATCCCCTGGGAAGCCTGTGAAATAAATGAAAAGTTGCCTGGCTTCTTGCTCTGTACTGTGCAATAAACACCTTTCTCCTGCCACCCCACTGTCAGTGATGGGATTTCTGCACTTGGGAGAGCAGACCCAGTTTCGGGAGGTTCTATAACAACTCCTCCCATAAGTTTTGGGGATTGGTCTGTATCAAGAATGTGTGGTTTTATTTATGTGTGTTTTATTCATCTGCTTATTGTACATATATATGCTCATAAATACACCTTATTTAATGTAGACATAATGTAAGGTCTCTCTGCCTATCAGATAAATAACATAAATGGGTTTTTAAATAATAAGGTTACAAAAGAAACTAACATAGCATGTATGATTTGAAATGTTTTGTGCTTGTAGTTAAGCTATAACTTAACCAAATGTTGATAATTCTATTTATTAATTTTGTCTATGATTGAGATATTTTAAAACTGAAAATAGTTTCATTTGCTTGAAACAGACATGACCATCATCAATTGAACACTCGGCTTTATGTAAATAAGAAGCATTAGTTTGCTTTCTCCTAGAGAGTATGTGCAAGGAAGCTTGTCTATCCTATCTCACTCTCAAAATATTTTCCCTCTTTCATTCTAGGGCAAGACTTTAAAGTGTAAATTTTTGTCTTCGTATATCATTATATGACAGCAAGACTGTATGCTGATAGGCTAGAATCATAAGTTGAAAATAAATGACCCAAACTTTGACATTAAATATGTATTTTAGTCAAGCCCCATGGCCACATCAACTTTAAATGTGAGCCAGGAGAGGTTTCCTTGATAAGGTGTTCTTTGCAACCGACAGTAGTTTTGCATTTTTAGTGGAAGTCCGCAGTAGTGTAAGAATGATTGGGCGGCATGACTACATGCTGTGGTGTGCATATATTTATCTGGAAATAAACACAGCCAGGGCAAGATAGAAATAATTAATAAGTTTTCATTATGCTGCCAAAATAAAAGATAGTCCTTAATGTATCAAATTGATGCACATTTTGTTACTGATTTTGATTTCCGGAATGTAGTACCAATATTTTACAAATCAAAATATTTCATGGGAAATACGAAGTAGAAGTCTACTTTCCCATACGAATCTAAATATCCATTTCGTGACTTCATGAAAAATGAAATAAAAAATAAAAACATTAACATTTACAGAGCATCTAATGCATCCCAATCTTCCACCAGGAAATTATACACATTTTCATTTTTATGAAATTAACCATTGCTCACAAAAACAGGAGTCATTCTCAATTAAGGAGCAGGTGAAGTCATTACATGTGGTGTTCCCTCTTGGTATTTTGCTTCTATCATCTTCATTTTAATTACAAATAGCTTCTTGGGAATACACAATACTTTTTTTTAAAATCTCCTCAGATATAAAACCTGCATAAAGTCTCAGCCAATATCAAAAGTGTAACATTTTCCTCCCAACAAAGTCTCAAATGTGCATAGGTTTCACTGTATATCCAAAACACAATTCCACTTAACAAAGCTGCGGTATGAAACAGCAAAGGAATTTTTCAGATACTTGCCTGAAATCCAAGGAGCTTTTCACTAGGCTTAATATGCCTCTGAAATTCACATTCTATGGGTTGTATCACTTTGATTCCATCTTCATAAAAAACATAGAACATGTTCCCAATTCCCAGACCTTAAGAATAAAAACATATTCAAAAGTTCAAAATAAAGTTATCAGAAACCTTTATAGCAAAAACACAGTGTCCCGCACATCCCCAGCAGGAGATCAATGTATGAAGCCGTGTAAAGTTAATAAAGCAAGTCACGTGGGGCCTTTCTGTATACCCGAGCCACTTTTTGATATTATGCAGACATTCTACTGTACTCTTCCTGATTTGCAATTCAGTGGTTTCTTGAATATAGTTCAATGAATGTTTCATATACTTCAAAACAATTATACATTTTTGATACATAGATTATGTTAATTGCTTTCTATTTTTAATGTACATGTTAATTAAGGTGAAAAACATTGTTTTGAAGAATACAATTTACATTCCATTATTTTTACCAGGGCTCACTAGGGAAAACTACATTGCATTCTTGGTAGGAGTTTAGTTCACACAAAGATAGACAGGATCCAAGGACCAAGTGCTCAAGATTTCGGAGAATATGTTGTCCTCAACTAGCAATTGTCAAAATAATCCCATACAGTGGTTTTTACATATGGGCTTTTATACTGTAATTTGAGGAGAGGATTCTACTTATGGACTTTAAAAACAATTATCTTAAGGTCTTAGAGAAATCTCAGTGTAATGACTTAAATCATACTTTAACATTTTTTCACACTACAGATCTGGGACATCTCAGAAATCTGTCCACTTATTTGAAAAACCTCTACATACAGGATGCAGGAGTCTACAAGTTTCACACCTAGTATACAGTTGGGGTTAACAGGTGACTGAGTTGAGGGAGATTCCAGCTATTCTTGAACATGTATTCTGATTGCTCTACACTGTTCCAACGAGCCCAGCCCTAAGCCCATGTAGGCCTTTCTTTCTGGACCCACGTTGCTTTGTCTGTTTGTCTTGATTTGTACAAATTTATTCAGGCAAAAATGCCTTATATATTTCTGTGATAACTCCTGTTCTTTGAAGATAAGCAGCAAAACTGAAATACTGATAGTTTGGAAAGCCAAATCAATGTTGTTTAATATGTTTAAATTCTAAAAACATCTGTTTAGGGGAAGATAATTTATTTAAATACAAAAATATTCCTGAAGCATATATTTTTTTTCCAATTTAGAATACCTCAAAGGTCTATTAAGTCTAGCCTGGAGCTTTGCACCCATAAGAATCACAATGAAAATGCATTGGTTTATGAAATATTTCATCATCAAATTTGTCACAGGTAATCTTATACACGTTATTAGAAAATGAAAAAGTCACACATTTTGCCTATCTGGACATGTATTCATCTTTTCTTAAGATCTAAAAGAAAATGGTTTCAAAATTAATTATGGCTTTTTAGTAGTTCATACATAACATGTATACATTATTTCTTTGTAGCATTCAAAATTATTTGAACCTAAAATACATATACATTGTACATGGTGCCAGTTTGGTATCTCTTTTGTAATTTTATAAGTGATCCATAGCACTCATATTTTAAGACATAATTATTATCAATTATGCACTAACACTCCAAAGACCATATAATTGATGGGATATTTTTGAACCTTAGTGGAAACAGCATAGAATGATATTCAAGACACATTTTTCATAAAGTAAAAATTACTAGTTTTCAGCAGTTATTTATAATTTCATTTGTGCATAACACAATGAAAATTCTATGCCCAAAGGATAAGGTTTATAAAAACCTCAGTACTGATGCAAAAACTCTTTGATTTATATCAGTAAAGCCTCCACGTAAACATTAATGTAAGATTGATTTTATGCCATTTACCAATAACTTTCAGTTGACTGTTATTGATTCCTGAACACTATTGTTGAAATCTGTGAACATAAGCAAATCATAATATGGTATCTGATTTCAGTTGTGCCAGTTACAGACCACATTTGATGTTTATTACAAAGCTCTGAATATTTTTAAATGGACATGTCTACCTTCCATTGTTCTTCAAATGTTTCCTCTAAACTGATTTTGAAGGTGCTTGAACCTTACAGCTTCTGTGAGTCAAGATTGTTTGCAAGATTTCTTGAGATATTTTCCGTATTATGCTATTTTATAATATTTTGCACACAATAGAGACAAAGGGATTTCATTATAATTTCTTGCACTGATGAAATTTCTATGCTGTATTTTTCTCTAAAAAATGCTTCATCCATCCAAAACACCCTTTCAAATCTGAGAGTCTGTTTTCTTTTTAAGATATGAATTACAAATAGGCATTTTTATAAATGGCATAACCTAATTTTCAAGTTTCTAGAGAAGAAAGTGGCATTATTTGGCACAGTTTAGGTTTTTAAATTTATTGTTTCAGAGGGAGAGTGACTTTCTAGAATTTATGAATAAGTAATGGCCACAAAATACCACATATAAATATGTTAAAATAATAATACAAAATAAACACCTATATAACAATTTCAGTGTTCATTAAATACAACTTGACACCGGTATAGCTGTCTGTGAGTTCTTTCTGTCCTTACTCACAAGTGGCGATATTTTGCCTTTTATTGCAAGACATATTTTGTTCCTCAAAATTTTTATTTAGATTTTAGAAGCAAAATTTAAGATCTGAACAGTTATTTCCTTTTGTTTGCTGCTATAGTGTTATGCATATATAAATTAATTGAAGATATATTCCATAAAATATGAATTAACTGATGAAAGACATGCTTGAAATGAAAGATCATACAAATTTTCACTTGAGGTATTCATTAACTTTATGTGTAAAGAACAATAATATGTATGTGTATGTATTCATACTAATTACTAAGATTCTACATGAAATCTTTTTTGGAGAGCAGGAGTGAGGGAACATAAAAAAGAGACATAAACTTCCTCCTCTTAATTTAGACAGAATGGAGGCAAAACATAGCTACAGCACTTCATCTTTTACCAGGGACTGCTAATGAATCAGCCAATTTCCCCAAATCGAATTTGTAGATGATGATTATACTTATGCCATGAAGCTGTTCCAAGAATTAAATGAGAGTAAGAAGGTAAAACACTTAGCAAAGTAACTGGAACGCTGGAAAATACCAATAAATGATAATGCCATGATGTCTACAGTGGCGTTTGCTCCCCTGAAAAACTACCAGAAAAAAGCAAATGATGAAATAACTGAGTCCCAAATTTGAATAGTGTCTTCATTTTTTCCTCAAACCTAATTAAAACGTACTGTTTTTGGTTTTCTATGCCAAATGTAGGTCTTCTAGGATATTAGTTTATATATATCATACATATATATAAATTAATGGTACAGAAGCCTGCTATACATAAGGTTGACTTTATAGTAGTGTATTTCTCAAGTTGACCTTCCCAGAGAGTCCATGAAGTAAACACTGGTTCATAATTATACTAAGATGTCATTTGCATTTTCCTTCTCCTTGTCTCCCAGAGTGAAGTTTTCAGTGGACTACATGAAGAATGATGTCATATGTGATTTGAAACAATTCAATGTAGAAATAGATGCAAGAATCCATAATCTTCTGTTTAACAAAACACTAAAGAGATCTGCAGAATGCAAAACAAAGTTTCTACTAATTTGATTTGAAAAATGCATCTTTTAAAAAATATTGTGCTACTTATTCTACTTATTGCACCAAGTAATGGGTTTATGATGTCTCCTTATAATGTTAATTAATCAATGCATATCTTTCAAATTTCTGTTTTAATCTTTAATGTCCATGCTCAATTGGACTTGCCCCAAATGGTAGAGTTAGAAATGTGCCAGGGGATTCCAATTTAATCCCATCAAGGTAGCATGTACCAAGGCCATCTCACTAGTCAAAGTGATCAATTTCAGTTCACAATTGATCATAATGATAGGATTAAGAGTCAAAGGGATCACATAAACAAGACTAGTGTCTGCTAATACCAACCAATAGAATTAAAAAGGGGAGAATGATCCAACATGGGAAGCGAGATACACAGCAGACCCATAGAATGGCAGATGTCCTAAACAGCACTCTGGCCTCAGAATCAGCCCTTAAGGCATGCGGATCCGGCTGAAAAGCCCATGAGAGTATTTCAGGCATGGAAAGCCAAGACACTCTGGGGAGAAAAAAAAACTAAATGAAAGATCTCCGCGAGTGAGATCCCAGCAGAAAGCACAGGCCATCAAAGAAGGAGGTACCTTTCTCTGAAGGGAGGAGAGAACTTCCACTTTGACTATGAGCTTGTCCAAATAAGATTGCAGTTGGCAAACTCAAAAGGCTTCCATAGCCTTGTAACTCATAAAAAGAGCCTAGGGTGATTACTGACACCATAAACAAGAGTGTCAAATTGTTAAGTCAACAATAGGAATCGCTGTGCACTTACTCCTCATGTAGGATCTCTGTCCTTAATGTGTTATACAATGTGAATTAATGCTATAACTAGTACTCAAACAGAAGTGTAAAGTACTTATACTTTGTGTTTCTGTGTGGGTGCACACTGTTGAAATCTTTACTTAATATATACTGAATTGATCTGTATATAAAGATAATTGAAAATGAATCTTTATGTAAATGGAATGGGAGAGGGAGCCGGAGATGGGAGAGTTGTGGGTGGGAGGGAAGTTATGGGGGAGGAAACCACTGTAATCCAAAAGCTGTACTTTGGAAATTTATATTTGTTAAATAAAAGTTAAAAAAATTTTAATGCCCAAATATTAGCAGATAGAAATACCCCCTCATTCCATTCCCACAAACACACACAAAAAAATCTTTGAGTATGAAGGGTGCCTGAGTCTCAAAAGTTTGGCAATTATAAAGCTTTCAAGTATACTTCTTTTTTCACTAATCCTTGGGCAGTGGTGTATTACAGACATTTGTGATTTCGGGGGAAGTTTTTCCGCTCTATCACAGGAAAGATTAGGAAACGTGTAGGCTGTTTCTTTGTTTCCCATTCCCCCGTGAAGAGACACATGCACTTTGTCTTTTCCAGGTCGATTGCTAATCTAATAGGGTACAGTGGCTCAGAGTGATCCATAGTTGTTTGCTCCTTGTGAGCTTTCCTTTTGCTTTGTTTTTCTTTCTATACAGAGGGAGGCCATAAGCAAGAATTACTTCAGTCTCATAAGAAAGAAGTACTTCCCAGAGGAGTTTCTAATCAATATTGTACCTTTAAATACATGAAAGGGACCGAGAAAAAAAATTAGAGGTCATGCACATTCCTATCTGAATCTTGGGGAGGAAACTGCAGAAAAATAACAGTGTAGCATGCGGATATAAGTATATTATATATGTTATATATTATATTATGTATTATATATATCATTTATTATACACACCATATAACGTATATAATTTATATTAGAAATACAGTGTAATTTATTATGATGCATAATTATTTATATATTTAAGTCAATAACCAAAGAAATTTTATGATTCTGTCTTCTTCTTACTTAAACGGCCATTGCCTTAGCATTTATAACATAGTCAACTGCAGGTCATAATTCAATGATGCTGTTTCAATAAGTCTTGGAGTTTAATAACTTTTCATTGACTGCGTTTTCTTCACCTCACAGTGATCCAAAACTTTATATAATATATATATATTAAACTTCACATATACATATATATTTTAAAATATAGAAGAGATCTCCTCTTTTTAATCTAAAGAATGATATAGGCAGGAATAGATGTTCTACATTGCATTTCTCACCCTCAATAACTCAGCAGGGGTAGATTTTTGTTCAGTAATGTTCCCATTTGTATCATGTCCTTGGAGCTAAAAATGTCTTTACACACAGAGCAGAATGACACCTCTGCACCTCACAAAGTTTTTCTGTTATTGCCAGCTGAAATCAGACTTGCTCATGCTTTCATTCTTACTGGCACGTTTTTGATTGAGCAGAGCTCATTACCATATAGATTGGCCAGAGTGATATGTAGATCCACTTCTTGTGAGTAGTATGCAAGATAAATTCTTTGGTAAATAAAACAGTTTAAATTATTTAATTCAGTGCCATGTAAAACAATGTTAATTAAGACATATGACATAAACCTGAATTAGTTATACACTCAATAAGTGATGGGAAATACTTTATTATATTTTGCTATAAAATTAAAAAAGTGAAAAAACACAAGCTGAGTGTTTTAATGTATATTTAAAAATTAATATAGTAAAATTACTTGTCAGTAGAAATGACTCAAGCTTTAGCTTCCTAGATTAAAATTATTTTTCGAGTAGATAGTAGAATTTATTTATCTTTGAATTGCCAAAGTTCTCAAAGTGTTAAGTGCTTAGTAGCATCTTTAAAATAATTTTTAAATAAATGAGTGAGATGTTTACTTTCTTAACATATTTCTATAATCTGATAAATTATAATGATGATTTGGATAGAACTGGAAGTAGAACAGAAGAGAAATGGGAAACACTGTTCTCCAGCCTTAAATATTGGTCTGGTCAGTAAGGTAACACATATTAAATTCACCAAAATGTGTTTCGATTACAGACTTCTGGTCATGCTAGATATCATGTGTATGTTTTAAAAAGCAATTTTATAGCTATCAGTCTAAAGATAATACACCATAACACAGTTAAGTAAAGTGTCAGAATGAGAAGTATTATCATTTTCAACTTTCTTTTATTATTGCCCTTAAAATGCCTGAAATTCTACAACTGATTCTCTCTGGGATAAATGTCTTTTACCAAAGTAAAGATGTAAACATACACACATGACACCACTGGAACAGAAACTAAAGAGGACCTCAGGAATATTTAGTTTTATTATTATTCTGATTAAAATACAGGCAGACATTTTCTTTGGAGGTTTAGATAACTAATATTTTATTAGTTTAGTCTAATAATTATACATATTGAACTTCTGAGGTTCAGAGATTTCTCAAGCTTATCTATTATTTCTGGTCATCTGTTAATTCTACATGCAGTAAGTTTTAATTATAATGTCATACCAATAATGGTGACAGCATGAAAAATAATTTATACATGTATATGAATAAAAATCATACATGGATCCTTCTTAAATATATTTTTAAATGTTTATTATAGTAAATAACAGAATTCTCTGATTATAGGTGATACAATAGAAGATTTTAAAAATTTATCTCAACATACTTCTTAAATACATTGTAACATTACCTGTAAAATAATAGCTATTTTCCTTTAAGAATAGATTGTGTCAAACAAAGACATGAAGAATAAGTGCACCATAAATTGATGGACAAATATTGAGAATGTGCATTTTCAAAAACTAACAGGAGAGGCCGGCGCTGTGGCTCACTAGGCTAATCCTCTGCTTGCGGCACCGGTACTCCGGGTTCTAGTCCTGGTTGGGGCGCCAGTTCTGTCCCGGTAGCTTCTCTTCCAGGCCAGCTCTCTGCTGTGGCCTGGGAAGGCAGTGGAGGATGGCCCAGGCGCTTGGGCCCTGCACCTGCATGGGAGACCAGGAGGAAGCACCTGGCTCCTGTCTTCGGATCGGTGCACTGCGCCGGTCTTAGCAGCCATTTTGGGGGTGAACCAACGGAAAAAAGATCTTTCTCCCTGCCTCTCTTTCTCTCTCACTGTGTAACTCTGCCTGTCAAAAAAAAAAAAAAAAAAAAAAAAAAAAAAACCCTAACAAGAAATTCTAGACTGATAAATACTGTGGCATGTGATGCATCATAGCATGATGTCAATTAATCTGAAGGTGTCCTATAATGCTATTAGAGTTAGCTTTGGTTAAGGATTAGTATAAACCAATTAAGTTCATCAATGATATCAAATTCAAAGTATAAGGAAGAGTTGTTTCTCATCCTTTAAATTGATTTGCCTATCAGAGATTTTCAAGGAGAGTGTTGATTCAATTAGAAGCTTTGTATTTGAAGCCAGAGCCATCAGAGCTGTGTCAGTCAGACTTTTCTCTGACTCCTTTGTTAGTGTTCCTTCCATTACAAGGATACGATGGAATCAGTTTTTAATATGTCCAGAGAAATATTCATTTGATGTCAAGAGATGTAAAGAATCATCCTCTAAAATACGTTAATGTCTGAATAGTGATTGAATTGTGTTCATTCAAGGTGAAGTAGCCAAGTGGGATGAAAAGAAATGGTATGGATACACCAGAATCTCATATAATAATTCAAATTTTAAAGGAATGTATTTTAAAAAACTTAAGGAGAGCAGATATCACAATGTGGGGTGGAGGAAATACATGGAATGCCTCATCACTGAGAACAATATAGAACTGGAAAATTCCAGAATTATTGGAGGATTATAGGTCCCACTGGAGCAGCATCTCTGCTTCTTACCACAGCTATCACTGGAGAAGGCCATCTAGGATTATAGCCAAGGCAATCGTGGTCAATGCCTATCAGAAGTGTAAGGTTGGCTTACAGACATTTTTCTCCTGAGAAGTTAATAGAAGCAAAATTGAGGGGCTATTTGAGTAGATGACGAAATGCATTTTTCCCAGTCTTTGTGGCTAAATGAGGAAAAACCATGACAATTACAATAATAAATAACAGTGGGTACCATTTATTGAGTGCTGTCTATATTTAAGGAGCTCATAAAAGTTCTACTGAGTATTAATAATTACATTTATTTTTGAGATAAGAAGATTGTGAGACAATGAGACTGAATCACTTTTTTTTATGTATAATTGTGATAGAGACTACCTGTAGTCCAGGTCTTTCAAGTTTATATCCCAAATTCTTATATAATGTATTATACTCACTGATATGAAAATGCTTCTGATCCTTCTTCAGACTTAAATTTAGGTAGCATTTATTATGTAAATTACATGAATGAGATTTCTTGTATGTTTGACCTAATTTTATACTCTTGAAATTATTTCAACATGTTGTAATCAAACTTCTTGGTATATCAATACTGAATGAAGATGGTGAGAAGGGTTAAATATTTTCAGTGGAGAAAGTTTATACAAGAATATTGAAATATTATCAAGTAAGAGTACTGAGTAAAAAATGAGGAAGAATTCAATAATTATTGAAATTAACAGTAGCCAATAAATGTAATAAAAATCAAGCAACATAGTTACAGAGTATGAAATATAATTGAATTTAATACCTTCTTCTCTCCATAATATGTTAGCTACTGCAGCATGTTAAAAAGAAAGAGAAAGAAAAATGAGTAAAGAGAGATTTAACTGCATAGTAATATAAAAAAAAAACTATTAAAGAGGTCAAATTCTCTAGGATAGATGTTGCATGAGTACATAAAAACACTGACAACGAATTCAAGAAAAAGTACTGTAAATTAACAGAAGAATAAAATGTTAAGATGAGCTAATAATCTTCTGTGCATTTCTTAAAATACCCAATTCTTCCTTGGAATAAGGATTTTGTTAATGAATAAAGAACATTTTATGTATCACTGAAAAGAAGAGGATATGTAAGTTAGTTTACCGAAATAAATTTTTAGAATAAGCTTTAGTAGTTAAAATCACTTAGTCGACAGTATACTTAAAAACTACCAGTTAAAATTAAGCTCTTTTAAAATCTCAATAATCACATTATGTAGTATTCCTAACTAATATGAAATTTACTTGAACAAGAATAGCTCTTTTAAAATCTTGATCACAGAAGTGGCCTATTTGCACTATTTTTAAGCTGTATATGTTTTCACTGTTTTAAATTAGACAGAATAACATGTAAATAAATTGGGGTTGGCATAGCATAGCTAATAAAGCTACTGACTGTTATGTGGGCATCCCATAAGCGGGGCTGTTTCTTGCACCAGCTTTTCTACTTCTGATCCAGCTCACTGCTAGTTGTCTGGGAAAAGCAGGGGAGGATGTCTCATGTATGTGAGCCCCTGGCACCCATATGGGAGACCCAGATGAAGCTCCTGGCTTCTGTCATCAACTTGGCCCAGCATTGTCCATTGTGGTCATGTGAGGTGTGAACCAGCAGATGGAAGATCTCTGTCTCTTCCTCTCTCTGTAACACTGACTTTCAAAATAAGTGAATAAATAAATAAAAAGACATAGCTAAATCTATCCTGTTTGCATCAGAACATACTAAATACCTTCTGGACCTTAAGTTGTTCAAAATTTACATAGGAACTAAATCAATAGAGCTAAAATACTGAGACAGAAATTTTAAAAAAAGTGTCCATTGAATATATACTAATGGAAATGGCTGCCTCTTGACTATCTCCAAGTTCTGCAAACTCTACATATGTTCAAAGTAAAACAATACAAGCAAAATGACAATGTAATTAATGGAAATCTCATACATAGCTAATTCTTTGACTATTTTGCTCTTTTTAATGTATAGTTATCTTTTTGTTAAACTGAATCCACACATATATGCAGCAGCTCCAAAAATGGAGTTTAGCATTCCTCATGTGTGGCTCAAGGCATAAGTGATGTAGCTTTTAGAATCTTTTGTGTTTTTACAAATTATTAAAGTAAGCATTTTAGGGTGAAATTTTTCAGTTTTTAACTCCTTAATATTTATTCAAACATCCGTACATAGTACATTGTACATCAATGTACAAATCCCTTCAAACATTTTATAGTGATGTTCCTATTACATTCCAAGTGCTTAGAACAATTATGAAAGAATACAAAACCTTCAGCTATAAGATAAAGACATATACCAAAAATTAAACAACATATAGTGATGAATGAGTCTTTGAAGAAGTTGAAAATGAGATAAAAAGCTTTCTTGAAATAAATTAAAGCAAAAACACAACATATCAAAACCTGTAGGATAGAGCAAAATCACTATTAAGAGGAAGTGTTTTTTGAGAAAACAATCAAAAAAAGACCAACCTCTGGCCAGACTAAGACAGAAAAAAAAGAGAAAAAAACTCAACCAAGTAAAATTACAGATGAAAAAGGAGACATTGCAACTAATACCACAGAAATATAAATAATCATAAAAGTACCAAGAACAACTATATGCTAATAAACTGGAAAACTTCAAATAAATAGATAAATTCCTGGAAACACATAACCCACAATGATTAAATCATGAAGACATAGAAAATCAAAACAGACCTTTACTAAGCAATTATATTGAAACAGTAATCAATAGTCTTCCAATAAGGTAAAGTCCAGGAACTGATATCTTTGCTACTGAATTCAACAAAACATGCAAAAAGGAACTAGCTCCAATACTTTTCAAACTTCTCCATAATATTGAACAGGATGGAACTTTGCCAAATTCATTTCATAAGCCCATTATCACTTTGATACCAAAACAGACATGGAAAGAAAATTAAAGACCTACATTCTTAATGAACATAGACACACAGATTGTCAACAAAATACTAGCAAATGGAATCATAACCACACCACAAAAGATGCGACATCATGATCAAGCGGGATTTATCCCAGAAATGAAAGTGTGGGTGGTTCAAAGTTAGCATATCAGTGCCACAAATCACATCAACAGAATAAAGAACAAAATACACGGTTATCTCACTAGATGCAGAGGAAATATTTGATAAGACTCAATACTCTTTCATGAGAAATTTCCTCCAAATTAGGTATAGGAGGAAAATACCTCAAAATTATAAGGGCTACATATAACAAACCAACAGCCAATATCATAAGGACCAGGGAAAAGCTCAAAGCATCTCCCCTCAGATCTGGAACAAGACAAGACATTTTCAACATACTACCAAAAGTTTTAGCAAAAGCAATTATGAAAGAAAGAGAAAGAAAGAACATCAGAACTGGGAAAGACGAAGTCAAACAATACAATATTTCTGATGACATGATGAACGTGGAAAAATATACTCCACCAAAAAGATGTTAGAATTGGTAAACAGATTCAGTAAAGTTGCAGGTTAAAAATAAAAATAGCAAAAATAGTATTTTTAACATGGTAATTATGAACTCACTGAAAGAGAAATCAAGAAAGAAATGTCATTCATAATAGCCAGAAAGAAATATTTAGGAGTAAATTGGACCAAAGAAATGAAAAATCTTTACAATGAAAGTTATCAAATGCCAATGAAAGAAATCAAGGACACACAAAAATGGAAGGATAATTTTTGCTCATATATTAGGAGAATCCATATCAATAAAATATCTATACTACTTAAGGCAATCTGCAGATTCAATGCACTCCCTATCAAAATAGCAATGCATGACATTCTTTACAGAATTAAAGAAAACTATCCTAAAATCCCTATGGAATCACCAAAGATCCCAAAAGCCACAGTATTCCTGAGCAAGAAAAATCAAGCTGGAGGTATCACAATACTTGACTTAAAAGCATACTATAGGCCGGCGCCGCGGCTCACTAGGCTAATCCTCTGCCTAGCGGCGCCGGCACACCGGGTTCTAGTCCCGGTCGGGGTGCCGGATTCTGTCCCGGTTGCCCCTCTTCCAGGCCAGCTCTCTGCTGTGGCCCAGGAGTGCAGTGGAGGATGGCCCAAGTGTTTGGGCCCTGCACCCCATGGGAGACCAGGAAAAGCACCTGGCTCCTGGTCCTGCCACCGGATCAGCGCGGTGCGCCGGCCGCAGCGCGCCGGCCGCGGCGGCCATTGGAGGGTGAACCAACGGCAAAGGAAGACCTTTCTCTCTGTCTCTCTCTCTCACTGTCCACTCTACCTGTCAAAAAAATAAAAATAAATAAAAAATTAAAAAAAAGCATACTATAAAGCTATAGAAATTAACACAGCATGACACTGGTATAAAAATTGACACATAGCTCAAAAAAACAGAACAGATCCATGTACATACAGCTAATTGATTTCTGACAAATGTGTTTTTCCAATAGGGTAGAGTAAGGATAATATCTTCAACAAATGGTGCTGGCAAAACTGTATGAATATATGTAGAAGAATCAAGCAAGATTCATACTTCTTACTATACACAAAAATCAACTTTAGATGGTTCGAAGACCAAAATTTAAAAATGATCCTAATAAATTGTGGGAAAAAAATGTAGGAGAAACATTCCAAGACACTATTGTAGGGACAACTTCTTGAACAAGACCTCCAATGCAGAACAAAAGCAAAAGTGAACAAATGTGACTATATCATACTCAGAAGTAGCTGCACAGTGGAAGAATGATCAATAAAGTGAGGAGACATTCAACAAAAGGGAAAATATTTCTGAGCTACTTTACAAAAGATTAATATCCAGATATCCAGATATATCAGTAACTTAAAAACTCAACCAAAACCAATCAATTCAGCAAAAAAAAGGGGGGGGCAAAGACTTCACTAGACAATTCTCAAAAGAATTGCAAATGTAAAACTATTCAACATCACCAACCAATAGGAGAAAAATCAAAACCACAATGAGATATCTATCACCTCACCCCTTTTTCAGAATGGCTAAAATCCAAAAGACAGCGAGTAATGAATGCTGAGAGAGGATGCAGAAAGGGGAACTCTTAACACTATTGTTGGGAGTGTTCAGCCCCTGCAGTATTGAGATTTCTTTAACAACTAGAACTAGCCTTGCCATATAGTCCAACAACCCCACTACTGGGTATATACCAAGAAGACATGAGCACGTTGCATCAAAGAGATACCTGCACTACCATATTTATAATAGCATTGTTCACAATAGCCAAAAGTTGGGATCAAACAAGGTTTGTCCATCAACAAATGAACAGATAAAGAAAGTGTGGTATATATACACAATAAAATATTATCAGCTATAAAAAAGAATGAAATTCTACCATTTGCATCAAAATGGATGCTACTGGAGGACATCACACTGAGTGACATAAGACAGAGACAGAAAAACAAATACTGCATGTTCTGCCTAAGTAGGAACTAACATTAGGAAGAAAGAGACAGAAAGATAGAAAGACAGGAGGAAGGAAGGAAGGAAAGGAGGGAGGGAGGGAGGGAGGAAGGGAGGGAGGAAGGAAGGGAGGGAGGGAGGGAGGGAGGGAGGGAGGAACATCTGTGTATCAATATCACTGCACACATACTTTTGTAAAACTCCAGGAGCCTGGAGCTTCCTTCAGGTCAAGCATGTTGGTGCAAGGCCCAAGGACCTAGGACATCTTCCACTGCTTTCCCATGCACATTAGCAGGGAGTTGTATTGGAAGTGGAGCAGCCAGGATAAGAACCAGTGCCCATATAGGATACTGGCACCGCAGGTGGTCGCTTTACC